GGGACTAGCAGTCTGATGACGAGCTGCTCGTGAAACCATCGTGTTCTTGCACCAAACAATCGATCCAATCTCCATAGAAAAGGTTCGCTCCAGATGAATTTTCCGGCCCAAACAAGCTCGTAGGTGTTCATTTGCTTCACCAGATTGTTGGTAAAGTTCTACTTCTGAACATGCATTATTCGCACCTAGTTCTTCCAAAGTGACCCTTTGACTGCCCCTCCCAAAAAGCCCAACTCCAATCTTCATACTCCAAGGCCCCCTCGCCGCATCCCGCTGGGCTGTCCGAGCATCCCCTGGGCTGCGTTGATCAAATCCACCCACAGGTGCATGGTCAACACCTGCCGAGCTGCGGGCGGCGAGCTGTGAACGAGCGACGCGCTTCGATGCGTCAACGGGCGGCTCGGGCTGGACCCTCGGGGCCTTTGCAAACGAGCGGCTGTAGCAGAAAAACGGCACTCAGTCTGTGTATAGTTTTGTTCCCCGACTCGGAAAGCCACCAGGAAATGGAAACAAATATGTATATATAGTTCTTGATGTTCTTGTGGAACAAGATGGAACAAGTCAAGACGCGATTTCGTCAAGTCTTTTCTTCTCCCCGAAGGCCGGATCCGTCGCTGGATCCAGGAGTTCGCCGTTGCGCTTTGTCGCCGTCGGGCCACTGGTCACGGGTTGGTTCGCCGAAAATGAACATGCCACAAACAACCACTTGCTATGTAAAGGACCTTCATTGCCATATTGGAACATCCAACTGTTTCTGGGTTCCAGGTGGTCACCCAAGTAGTGACCGACCCATCCGTTTCGGTCGGTGATGGGTTGTTTGGATACCGGACCATGGCGAGGCACCGCGCGGAAGTGCTTGGCACCACAAGCGGGTCCCTGTACTCGAGAAGGAGTTTGAGCAGATTCTTTGAAAGGCCACAACTGCTCGGATCATGATGCTCGGATTCTGCCACCCCCAAAAAGGCAACGAAAAGGCGTATCCGTCTCATTCAAGGGATCCCAGAACCCCAGGCGTCTTCTTTTCAGCTGATGAACTGATAGGAACTGGACATGGATTCTCCCCCGCCCAAACGGAGAGGGGGCGCTCCGGCTCCGGCCGGAGTCCGGTCGCTCGGAGCGTTCCGCAGCTCGGCTCGGGAGCGGTCGCCTCTTCCCAAACATCGGTCTCGCCGGCGCGAAAGGTGGCGAGATTGCAATTCGTCGTGTGATGTAGACACCTGACGCCGAGGGCAAGAGCGGCTAGAGGTGTCAGTGAGGTGTCTGAGGATTGGAGGGTTCGAAGTTTGGAGGGTCTTAAGTGGAAGGAAGACGTTGGCCTGGAAAAAAACATACAAAATGCATGAAACTTGAAACCACGGATTGAAGGTTGTTCCCTCCAAAACTGCACAATTGCTCAAACATCCGGTAGGCATCCCTCTCTCGACGGGCTAGTTCATCCGGATGACCACCACCATATATTCCACACGGATCCATTACGGTATGGCCAAGTCGGCTTTGGCTGTGTGTCACTCCAAGCATCTTCGACCCAAAAAGTCTATTGAATTGAACACCATCGCTGGTGGGCCAGGATGGTATAGTGTACTGAGAGTAGATGGCACAAGTTACCCCAAGTTTGGTGGTCTATATATGGTGGTTGATCAATATTCTTTCATCCTGGAATGGCCATTCATCGCGGAAAAAAAGATATCTTTCGCGGATCTTTCGCGGCCTCATCGCGAAGCATGGTCCTACAACCATGTCTAGCTAACATGAGCCGGAACATGTCATAGTATCACAAAATAGGGAGAGACATCTTGCAGCATGACCCCAGTAGATGGTTGAACGTTTCCACAGCTACTCAGGGTCACTTGCAGCATCTGTGCGACAATTGTGCAAAATAGAGTCAGGCACAACTCAACCCAATCCTCGTGTCAGCTACCTACACAGGGTGATGCAGCTTGGGGAATGTTGGGGGGCCTCAAGCTGGGAACCTAGACTTTAGCGGCACATTCGCGAAGCTTTCGCGGATCTTTCGCGAAATTTCACTGGTGCTTTCCCCGGGAAGCCGTAACATTTGCAAACACCTGCGCAGCCCGTCAGAGCAGCTGCAGGTCGTTGCCTCACTGTCAGGGCTGCCTACCCAGATTGCTAGTCTGTGACAGTGGGGACAGGAATCGGAGAATCCTTTACGCACTGCCAGGGCTGGGCACGGAAATGTTGAGGCTTCAGTTCGTTAGTCTGTGACATATGGGGACACTTCCGCCCACTGGCTCTGCCGGAGGAATGCCTTGCGTTTCTAGTCTTTGTCAGTCCGGTAGAAAGGTGAAAACAATGAAAGCGATGACCTTCGATAAATCTTTCGCGGAAAAAAAAGATACTTTCGCGAATCTTTCGCGGATGGTTCTAACAACATCTGAAAGGCTGTTTTATATAAAATTCCTTACACGGGGTTTTCGATCAACTCCCATATGGACCTCCAGCCTTTTCAGGACATCTTGGGGTGCCCGTGCCATCGTGGCTTCCACGGCATCGGTCCGTCCTTCCCCCCCCCCGACTCGCAGTCCGCCTATACACCTACACCACCGTCTCGCGCCGGTCACGCGCGTGCTGCACCGACAGGGCGCCCACACCCCGCGGTCCGGCGGCTTGGCCTGAAAAAAGGGAGTCCCGTGTGTTGATTCTCATTCACGGCCATCATCTCCGACACCTCAAGGTCCCGGCGGAGGCTCCCGGCGGCGGGCGGCTGTGGGCGTATATCCACAAGAGCCGGGAGGATTTGGCCTTTGGCCTGGAAAGTGCCTCCAAAGGGGTAATACTAAAGGCTCTGATTCAAGGCGAGTGTGTGTGAGCTTTTGAGGCCAAGTAGTGAGACAGTTTACAAGATGACTGTCGTGGATCAAAACGGTGTTGTTCCTGAAAATAGGCACGTTTCCTGTTTCAATCTGTTTCATTACTGTACATGGCATGCCACTGGCATACGACAGATGTCTTTTCAAGCATGCTAGCTAGCATGATGTTGCTAAACCCAAAAACGCCGCTCAACCACCGCTCCGCTTGGTCCAACTGAGCGCTGCTCATCATAACACTCGACATGTTTGAACGAGGCCCGCCAAGAAGCCTGCGCGGCGACGACGTCACCGGGACGGAAAACGGGGCCGTTTTCTTCAAAGCCGGATTCTGTTGGTGAAGGAGCCCGGATTCTTAGGGTACCCTCCCTCCAACAATCATGGAAGTGGAACAATAGCCTTCTGGAACACGATTTTTTCCACGACCAACAGGGGATTGTCCATGTAACCATGTTTGTTTCAGGGAGTGTATTATTCTTTTGGTTCGGCCAGAGGGATGAACCCCCGCTCCAACATCAGTGGTTCGGACTCAGAAAGCCTTGAAGCCGTGAAGGCCGATGAGGAGCCGGTTTCAGAACATGAACCCCCATGTGGCCAGAAACCGATGTCAGGCACCCCCAGACTGGGGCCACCAGACATGATGCTGAATGAAGGCATGGATGAACACGAGATGTTTTTCAGTGTACGAAAACGGAAGGGGGTGTGATATGGCCTGGAACCCCACGATGTCTGCACAAAAAAGTGGGGTTGGTCAATCACCTGGCAGCCGTTCTGGCGCTGCCAGAGACCTCAAGTTGCAAACACTCCTGGATTTGCGGACTTAAGGAGGGGAGTCAAACAGTTCGGGAAAAGCACAACAAGGTCTTGCTAAAGCTCTTGGATTCCTCCATTCCAGTTTCTGTAGGTGATTCTGCTCAAGACCCCCGAAGAAACTTGAACCTTAGGTGGAACATCCAGTCCTCTGAAAATAGATCTGGACATGTCGACGGACAAAATGAACGAACCCGTGTTCAGTCACAGTTCTCCGGAACTTCAGCTACGTTCCTCTTTCTTTCGACCTGATCCATCGAACTCGCATCCAGCCATGGAACCGAGCAAGGCACCTGGAACCGTGCTACCACCTGCATGGTCTCAAGAACGTCTGAAGGATGTCTTCCACCCCGAACCAGTTCTAGGGGCCCATCCCCCTCCGCTGGGCCGATTTCGAGTGCCTTTTGGTCGCTTCGAGGATCAGAACATCAGATCCCGACCCGCATGGCCGTGGACTCTCGCATCTCTGCTCCCGCAAGCCACCGTCATTTCACACTCAGATGGTCTCTGCGGGTGAAAACGCGGTCCGATCCAGTCAGTGGCGATGCCGAACGAGCTCAGTCGGATGATCCAGTCAAGTTCAAGGATGTGGATCTGGATTTTCGAGAACCAACCGCTGCGGGAAATCAGACTGAGAACAACCAGATCGAGTAACTCATGATATAAGGCAATGCCTTAATTGAGAAAAACCAGGGGTTTGACCGAGCCTTTCACCTGTTGCATGAGAAAAACCCGTCGATCCCAACAGATTGCCACTTGACTACTATAGTCCGATTGGCATGGCCCGTCTGTGGGGACACCATGGCTACCTGGAAGACGGCTCGCTGTGAAGCAAAAGAAGGGCTCAGACCCTAGGCCCGGCAGTCTAATGGGCAAAAGGAACCTCACTTCTGACAGCGTCAAAAGGAATAAGTCAGGGATTTCATGACTCAGAGACTGAGTCCCAGAAATATGGTGGATGGCACCACCTCTATGATATTCGGATTGAACATGATTCTGCAAGGTGATCTGCCATCACACGTCCATGACTATGCCATAACACGTCCATGACTATGCCATCACACGTCCATGATTATTTCAGGGAGTGTAAGAATGTTCATGTGAAATCCATCCCCATGCACATCCCACCCTTTCATCCAATGCCGAAACGATGAGAGCTCCAAGAGAGCACAGTTCTTCAAACACATCCACATACACCCAGTCACAGCCACTTTCCGCTGGAACGGCGGATTCGAAGGACAGTGCTCTCGGACGTGGGTGTGGGTCAAAAGCAAACCGGGAAACCATATAGACAAACCCATCACATCATGTTAAAAGCTCTGTATATCTTGGGAGGCACACACGAGTGAGTGCTCTCATTGTTACCCCCCGTGACCCACACCCATTTCTTCAAACTGGCCCGAAGTCAGTCACACCACCGTGTTCAAGCTGGAGAAACCTGGCCGTAGAAAAGCACAGGAAGGTGGGACTTAGCTTGATCAACATGAGCATTTAGGCAATTCAGGGGATGAAACGAGGGATAAAAAGGTTGTGCCACGTATCTCCCAAGTAGATGCTCCCATCCAGGTGACCGTTTCATCCCCCCACCCGAAACCCTGACAACCACATAATGATTATTAAGTTAAGTTATTTTTCATTATTTTCCAATAAGGATACCGGATACCGGATACCCTCCAACTTACTGGGTGACGTTGCAGAAATCCCGGTGAGCACTACATACATAAGGCACAGTTGCACCGACGTCGAGGACTCAAACAACCCAAGAAGTACGAGACTGACTGGTGCGGTGCGTACGCCAAAAAAGAGGGATACCCAGGCCCCTTCGTGGCACCGAACATTCCCTTTTCCAAGCACGGCGCCGTAAGAAAAACATGTCCAACTGTCCGAACGCTGCGTTCGACATCCAGTGCCTATTTCGGGGATGTTTGAAGGGCAAAGAGAGGCGGTTGACCCGTCGTAACCGGGGATTGAACCAAGAAAGCCTGGTCCAAACCGTCCAAAGCCAGGGTGCTTGGGACCTTGCATAACAAACACTCAACTATAGGAACCACCATTTTCCCAAATCGCAGCTGGAGAAATCAAATCGCATCGAACACAACCCATCCAACGCATCGAACACACGCCAGCTGTGTTCCTTTGCTGCAGGGGAGGGGCAGGGGGATGATCTTCAGGCAGTTCCCGTGCATCCATAGGCCACACAGATCGCTCTGCACACGGGATGGTCTGGCATTGTGCTGTATCCTAGGATTCCCAACCACCATTGATATAATGGTTTTGGGGACGGTCCTGGAAAAGAAACACTTCAGGATGGACAATTCGAACCTCCGCGGTCGTAAAGCCATTCTAGTATATGGGGGGGTTGATTCATCAACTGTTCACAGTAGGTAACCAAAGCTTCCCAAATGCACCGTTCACCGGTTCCGAACCTAACGACATCGATTTCTCAGAAGAAGGGTTAACCTGGGTGAATGGCCGGAGGCTACGGCTACGACACCGAAAGCACCAGAAGTCCTGGCTCATTCTTCACCTTAACTTAACAACCTTTCGCACCATTTTGGGTGCATAAGCTGAATGAGCAGTCAGGCCGTATCAGTCAGTGATCTGATTGGCGCCTGCTGGTCGTTCAACACACAGGAATACTTGGACAATGAGTTCGCCCCGATGCCCGCGACGCCCATGACCCGCCCAAGCCTGACGCCACATCAGCGTGCTTGCACCGCTGCCACCTTGCTTTGCAGCACTGGGTGTGATACAGGGAGCGAATTTGGGCAATGGTATATCCCATTACACAAAGTGCTCAGGTAGGAACAACATGGAGTACCCACAGGCTTTTGATGGGTTTGGGTGCCTCAACAAATACCTACAACTATATATGTATACTTTATGGTACTTTATGTATATCGCATCCACAGGCCCAGTGGACGATGATGGTTAGGTTGCCGACTGTGACTGGTCATGGGCGGCCAAACCCTAGCGATCATGTTCAACACCTTATAACTTTTCAAGCATCACTACATTGCAATTAGTTGGGTCTATCCTAATACCTGTAACAGTGGATGATGATGGTTCAGTTGCAGGCCTTGTTCAAACATGATGATTTGCTTGTTTACTGGTCCTGTTACAGGTAAGAACGGACAAACCGTTCTGATTCTTGAGCCGTTCACTGTTGTGAACCGGTATTGATAGAGAAGCACACGGCATTTCTATCCCAGTCGGTGCAGGTCCAAAGACCCTCCTTCATTCAACAGCCATCCAAGCGCAGGAAGAACATATCCTTATCATCCAAACGAATTGTATCAACAAAAGAAACATCGAAAGAGAGCAACCATCTAGTTTTTTCTTATTTCTTTTGTTGTTTGTTCTTCTCTCTTTGGTAATTTCTTATTCTGTTGAATTTCAAGTTTATATTTATCTATATGTAATACGGGGCACCTGTCTTTGTTCGCTGCTGCAAGGAATTCAATGAGACCATTGAGGTAGACTAAATCGGCGATGGAAGGACCTCCGTGTGGATATCAGCGGATGTGTACCATTGAAAGTGACGACTGATGTGGAAACAACGTGTCTCCCTGTAGACACTGTAGTGAACAAAGCATCCCCGCCAAACCAGAATAGGTTAATATCAAACAAGTTGGTCAATGTGCTGATGGAACATGAGGGCTAAACTCAGAAAACCGATGGGAATCCGCCAAATGACTTCAGATTTCATCTCTGCTGGTCTTGAACACCTGGAAAAACACCGGTTTTGGACCGTTCAGGTGGCTATCTGGGTCCTACCGGTGGTTGTTCAGTTCAACTGCAAGTGGAGGAAGCGCGCAAGTTCTGCCGCAGTAGAACCACATGTCGGTGGAACATCTTCACCGCTATAAAGAGGTGACTTCAGTGATTGAGGCATGGACAAGAAACATAAAGGATATGGAAATAATGATATCATCTGATATCAACGAATGTGGTTGGCACATCTCTGCTATTCCAGGCTTGCACCCGGAATTGCTTGTTCACACCTCTCTTTCCATTTTACCGGCATAGGAGATTAACTGTGAAACTACCTGATACATGGTTCATTTTGACCACAACTCATTGCCCCCTGAACTGTGGGGACAAACACACACAAAAAAAGAAATAACACAATCTACAACCAACACCAACACCACCACACCCAACCGCCACCACCACACCCAACCGCCGCCGCCACCACCACCACCACCACCAACAACAACAACAACACTGGACAAAACAATCACATCAACACCCCTCCACTCGGCCTCGAAACCACCAAAAACCATCAAACACTCCGAGCAGGACTCTTCCCGCCCAAAAACACCGCCAAAAACACGCTTCTTTTCCATCCTGCGCCGTCCTATTTTTCGTCGCGGATGCAACCGATCCGAGTGGCCGAGGGCTTCCGTTGTGGAGCTTCTTGAAGACAGAAGGGGCAACTGGCCCCCGCCTCGGTGCGCGGTGCGTTCGCGAAAAAGCGGTCGGTCTGCACCTTCGGAGCGGAGCGGAGCGTTCCACGCGTTCCACGACGGGTTCGGCGTTCCGCGGGCGGAGTCGGTGGGATCCGTAGCTGAGGATCGGAAAGGAGGATGAAGGAGGAAAGGTAAGCTGATGGTCTGGGCGGCCTTTGATACCATTCGTGGATAGACCTTTGGTTAAGCTACGTAGTGGTCATTGGTCTTCTTGCATGAACAAAGAAGTTGATCGATCTTTGCATACATTTACTAAGCCATGCTAGTTGCATCCTCTGGTCAAGTTGCTTCTAGGTCCTTCCTCTTTGCCGTGAGCTGCAGCAAGCCACCTATGAAAAGGGTATTGACTTGTAATTCTATACATAAGAAAACACACGGCTATACCAATCTATACCATATGAGGTCAAAATACCACCACCTCCCTTGCACCCGAACCCCGGCCCCCCCCCCTTCCAACTCGCCCGGATCCGGTCCCATTGGGTCCGAAGCCCGGTCCCACCAGGGGCGCCCGACCCGACGGAAACAGGCCTTGTGGAAGACCGCCTTGCACCTCGGTCGACTGGACGGATCTGAGATCGACTCGGTGGATCGAGTGGATGTCTGGAGGCGGGATGAGGCGGGAGACCCGGGGTTCGTTTTCTGATCACCACAGGGTCCATAGGTTTCAATTATTCGGGTTCAAATCCATGGCAAAGAACATGAAAAAGGATGAAAAAGGCAAGGTCTACTTATCCAAGTACTATGACTATGACTATGTGGAAAGGAGGATCTTCCCAAGTCAGTCCTCTTCTATATATATATATATGCAACGGATCAACCCTTGGCCTACTGCGGAAAGGGTGCTTCCCTAATTATGTTCTCCAAAAAACAAACAGTGTTTTGAAACATGGTGTGGACATGTGTGGAAGATATTGAACCATACAATGTGTACCTACTACATTTGGTTTTCTTCTATTTGATACCGTCCGCGACCTATCTCCGGCTTCATTTCAAACAGGATCATGTCTGCATATGTGTGCTGTTCTAAGAGCATCTGCGAGGGATTGCCCCAAAACAGGGCCCCTGATGATCTATGCCTGAAGATGCAAAAAGCTCGGCGAAGAGGAGACTTCGCTGCAGTCTCTGCGTTCTCCTCTGCCACCCGCATGCAAATCATTAGTACTCAAGCTCCCCCACTGGGAGCAGGCATGGAACGTCTCCACCTACCAAGGGGCAGGTAGAGTGTATGATCGGAGTAAGACGGAGGCATCTGAAGATGTATTGAGAGAGGTCTTGAATGATTGTAGGTTGGAGTCCCTTTTTCCAACTAGATTCCTCTGCACCCCATGGGTTTCAATGATCTTCCTGGCTGTTCTTCCTGTTCCTTGGGTCTCCTGCCGGGTGCAGGATTCGGCTAGATGAGAAGACTTTTTGCAGCTATATACCTGCACTTGCTCATCCATGTGCGTCTTGGAGAATCGAGGTGAGAGGTGTGTCCCCATGTTCGGAAGCCCAGCTCCAAAAAAGACACGGTCCACTTTGAAGCGAACACACCATGTAAAATCCCATACAATCCATGGCTCCTCACCAAAAAAAGTACACAGGCACCGAAATTCCGTTCATGCCTATTTAGGATCTCTTCTTGAATTCATGTCCACTTTGTCCCCATTTTTCCACGCAAATTTCATCTCAGTACTCATCTCATCTCATCGCATCGGGGTCCACCGACTGGTTGGATCAACCCCCACCCCCGGTCCGGCCCGACCCCCCTCGGTCCGAGGTCTTGACACTCTTGGGCCAACCAGCTACTCCCTCCGGGACCTCCAAAAACTAATAGTAATAATTGGGCTGAATACAGAAAGAACATGGGAGAACCCATGGTTTCACTAAGGAGTTGACACTACAAAAATGGGTGAACCATCTGGCTTCTTTAATGGTCTTGGAAGTCTAGGGTACTGACAACTGGGCCTATGCGACGTCGCGTAGAAGGATGAGGTCTATGTTACACCAGGAATGTGAGACATTGCTGGCGACCCCCTGACTCGTCGTATTCACAGATCCTTTAGAAGACATCTCCCGGCCTACAAACATCACTAGCTGGACCTTTCATCAAACACTGGACACTTGGTCAAGGCGAAACTTCAGCTGGCACATCGGCGACCTCGAGTCAAACCTTGTAGGGTCGCGGTTCGCGAAAACACAATGCCTCACACATTTTTTTCTGTATGCATCAAAAAGACTCAAAGCATAACCTTATTTGCATCCTATATTATTCCACCGACTGACTGGTTTTTAAACGCGGTTGAAACCCACATCCCTCCGGTTTGCGCGTGTCTTCCCGTGAAAAGCTCGAGAGCTCCCTGGCCTCGAAGGGGTACAGTGGCGCACTGGAAGCACAAATGGGGCAACGTTCCGCGCTCTTGGAACCTAGGAGCTTCCACGCAAGGAGAGGGAGAGAGAGAGAGAGAGAAGGTATTGATTTGCGCCCGCAGCAACCGATGTTTGGCTCCTAGAGCCTCCCAAAAACCAACTCGGATCAGGAGAGCTGCGCTCGTCCGGGAGCGGATCAAGCGTCCAGGAGCGGTCCTTACAGCACCCCAGCGTAGTTCCGACGGTGACGTCAGTTTGAAGCGTTCGGACTGGGAAGTAGTCCTGACATTGTCATGGCGTAGTTCTGACAGGGCATGCATGCTGGCATGTCATGCCGTCAGGCTGTAGGGTGTGCGCTGTCGCGTCGACGTTCCGTTGTCACTTGGCCATGCTACCTTGGAAAAAATGATGTGATGCTGGTGCGCGTACTTCGCCGATACGCAAAGGTGTCATGTTGGCATGTTGTATAATGCTGTCGTGTAGACGTGTAGACACCGTTAACATGTTGTCACGGTAAGAAGTCCCGCCGGCATGTTGTCAGGCTATCATGCTGACATGTTGTCATGTTGGCACGTTGAGATTGGACATGGACCACCTTAACATCGGTAACACGCTGACACGTTGTGGTGATATGCTAGCAGGCTGAAGAGTGGGCTCCGAAGCTGAGCAGGTTCCCTGGCTCTTGCTTGTCGCGGTGTTTTTTCGTGCGTTGACGTCTGTGGGCACATGTGCTATGCTGCTGGATTTTTTGGCGCGTTGGGATGGGCACAGTGATGATTTGACAGCCTGTTCAGAGGTATAATGAGGTATAGAGTAATAGTTATATGCTATTTGAGGATCAGTTTTTCAAGAGGTCACATCTGATAAGACCTCTGTCTCCGCCCTTAGCTCCTTGGCGGACGAAAAGCGATGGATCCGAGTGGGAAAGGCGTGGATTCAATGGTTTCTGGATGGTTTCTCGATGTATCTGGGCAAGAGGAACAAACGGTGCCTTTCTCTCTTCAGGATCCATAAAAAAACAGGCTCTGTACTCCTTGGGCACAGCCAGCTCGGGGTACAACCCGGGCTTGAGTCTCAAGCGAAACGGAATTCAGGTTCCAAGCGTTCCTTATTTACCTGGGGGTGCAGGACGATATCAAAAGGACTCTTTATGGTCAACTAGCGACTCTTGGCACAAATCCTCAGTAAGCGTCTACATAAAATGAATTGACCAGACCGAGAAGTACATGAGGCCGTGCCAAGTTTCACATGAGCATCTCATCAGAATGGACCTGAAATGACGTTTTTGTCTTCCAAAGAAGAGCACTGGTCTAAACGGATTCATATGGCTTTTCCATCAATCCTCAAGCGTCTGAGCCCTGGGCAAGTTGGGCAAGACTGGATGTGCGTGGCACACGCAGTGACCACGCCTAAAATGTCCAGGCGTGGTGCATGTGAAAGAAATGCAGTTTGGATCACCAAGTACATGACCCTGTTCAAACTTTCAGATTGTATGATTTTACCATGTTCAGGTCTACAACCCAGCTCAGGTCAATTGAAAGTACCCATTGATATGACATGAAATGACGATGCTCACACTGAGCCGTAAAGTGTCCTCCTAAGTGCTCCTGAATTGGTCACAACAGGTCCTGGTGTTCCAAGACATGATACGATTTTGAGGCAAGTCTAGGCCAGGCTGATGGCCTTTTGGATCCATTTCTTCGAAGGGTGGCCACGTTCTGCCTTTCTGCACACAGAAACTCAGCATACTTGAGCGAACCGCAGCCAACAAGGGTCCTCCAATTGGCCATATGAGGATCGTATGAATCATAATATTCCATAAGTAAGAAGGGTCCCAGGCAATTCTCACCAGATCTTCATCTAACGCGGCCTTTCGGAGGCACAAGAAGATGGAGTTCCCACTCTGTTCGAAAACCTCCGCATTCTCGCTGATTTGGGACAAGGCTGCCTCCCCCTTATTCAGAGCCTCTGAGTTAGGTCCCTGAGCTTTCAACCACTCGCTGGTCTTTTCTCGGTCTGGCTATGCTGTCGTGTGGGACCCCCGGATGGAGTCCGGCATGTCGAGTCGCAAGGACGGTGACCGAGTCTGGATGAGCTGGGATCGTACTCCACGTTCCATGGAAGTGTCCTCTACAAACAGAGGTTTTCATGGGTTTTCCCCTTCAAAAAAGTGAGTCAAAGGGTAGCCCTGGAAGTCAGCCGGGACACGTGTGATCTTGAGAAAGAGTGGGCAGTTCTTGCCCTGTAGCTCGATTCGGATCAGGTCCTGCGGTGATGTCCGTTGCACGTGATGTTGGAACAAACGTGTGATGTTATGTTAGGGCTTGTTAGGGATGCAGGATGGATGCAGGGTTACCCACGAAGGATATTGATACATAATTAATATATACATGACTCATGAACTTATTGAACATGAACTCTGCTACAGCATTATCTCGTCTCCTTTAATACCAGCTTGAGTGGTCTCAGACCTGGGTATCAACATATCAACAAGATTCAACAAGTCACTTTGAAAGAACAAAGATCATATCATTCTATCATCAACCAACAGCTTACCAAAGGAACATGCAAATCTTCGTAAGCGATTCATCTCTGATGCCAGGTCACTCTGGTCACTTCACCATTCTTTTTGACATTTTTGAACAGTCGCGACCTCATCGATGATCATCATTCCTTCAGCAAACACGCCCCATATGCCGGGAAGATATGACCAAGATGCTGACTTTGACATCAATGTCTTGCATTTGGGGTTTGGCATGCATTGAAATCATGACGGGACAGGACACCAAGAATGGGATGAGTCACATGATGCCAGCTATGGCGCCCAAACCCCAGCAAGTACCCTCGCAAAACAAACACAGAAACCACGAAGAACATGCCGGAAAACATGTTAAGCGAAGGTACCCGTGCTTTTGCCTCCTGCCCTCCTGTTGCTACCACCCCTTCTCCCCTGCCCTCCAGCTCCTGCATGGCATAGTGTTCATGACTTCGGGCGACATGGGCATCCAACTGTGGCGGGATGCGAGAGGCAAGGAGTGAAAACACAGGGCGCCACAGGGCGCTTCGTGGGTTCGTCGTCGATGCCCAGCGACGTCTTGTGCTCCCTCGGAATCCTTGGACTCATAGCAAGGCTTTTGCTGCTCTGGGGGTCGGACTCGAAGCAAACCCTGTCCATTGGAAAAGGGCCGAAGTCCTAAAATGAACTGCTCCGCCAATTATATATTAGACCTTGACATGGATGAGGAACAGCAAAGGCCCTTCGAGTTTCTCGATGGGCCAAAATCGGCCCACTGAACAGAGGTGAACATCCAATCCAAGGGACACCACAAAATCCCAACAAATATATGATGCGGATATAGTGTCTGGCAGATACTTGGGACATCAATAGTGGATAATGCTCTGCCAGGCTTTTTTAGTTCGTGACCTTTTCATGGTTCGACCTCGTGAACCTCCTTAGGGGAGGCTTCAGTTCGTGAAGCAACGGAGAGCGAACTCACGAACGGAAGAACCGGTGTTCAACTCGTGGAGCCCGGTGGTTTCAGGGAAAAACACTCACGTGGGATCAATCATCCCAAGTCAGAAGTGGACACCATTACCACTGGGATGATACTCTGAAAGCACCACCCAAAGTGTTACCACTGGGTGGGCCATACTGAAAGCACCACCCAGTGGTAAGAGTTACCTCCCACCAAATGGTCCACGATGTCCAATTCATGTTGATCAGGTGGATTTGCCGATGATCTTTGATGCGTTTTTGGGATCACCTCCGTTGATTCATGCGTTGATACCGGGGCTGCTCTCCCCGAACCGGCTAAAAAGAACACCACAGCGACATCGGAGCTTCACCGGACTCCCTGAAGAGTCCGAACGTCAACCACACAACTCTCGCACACCCAGTCGACGGTAGCTCAAGGAGTTGCACAGATTGAACCATGTGCTGTATGGGTCCTCAAGGAGTTACATGGCAGTGTTGACCTGGCAGTGTCTGGTGGACCTGCCGTCTTTTTCTTCAGATCCATCACCAGCGAACGGACCTACCATGACTACCCACAAAACCATGCTCCAGCGATCAGGGTTGGGATGTTCCGGCCTCGTCACGGCTAGGATCCGATTCGGTGGCTTCGCTTTCCGAGCGGTGCGGTGGAATGGATCGTAGCCATCTGAAGAGAGAGAGATGAGAGAGAGAAATGAGATGAGAGCGAGAGAGCGACCGGTTGAACCGGGAACTGAGAACGACTGAGATGGATTTTCCAAAGTGTTCTGAACTTGGAAACAACCTGGAGAGGGAGAGAGGCCGGGCAAGTGCGATGCTGTGCGAAAAGAATGTGGGAATCCGAGGATTCAAAGGCTCGCAGAGCCCTCCACATCCGAGGCTCGCGTACTTCGATGTGTGGGTTTTTCGCTACATGAAGGAGCAATGGATTGTTTTTTCTGGTTGTTTCAGATTCCGCACCGCCACGAGGTCCAGTTCTGGGTCCCAGTTGGGTCCGGCCTGCGAGAGGTAGCCAGACAATGTCTCTTGAAACTCACAGCCGAACTCCTCAGCTGGTGGAGCTTTCCCTGGTTCCGAGACCCACATGGAACCTGAAAAGAACTGGGTTGTATATAGAGAGGAAAATAGTCAATAGTCTTCCAATTTGGTCCATTTTCAGGTGAATCTTCCCGAGTGTAAGGGTATACGGAAGTAGCCATGGCAGCCTTGCTGTTGGTTCTTGTGACACGAATTCATTGTACGTACTGGATCTCTCTCACAAAGACTCCCACAAACATGCACAAACAGGCCTTTTGGAAGGTCACTTGAGCAGCCAGGACTATTTTTGGGGCTCCAATTTCATCAGTAACCATCTCTTTTGAGAGGTGCTGTAGCCCCACACGTGTTCCCTTGAGGCTTCTTGGCTAGCTGGGTATAGCCTCGTCGCCCATCATCGGAAGGCATTTGGAACAACACATGCGGCGACCGAAACGCAGCAACGCAGAACCCCCACTGGTCAACACGACCACAGTCCACTGCCAGCTGGACAAACTTTGAGAGGGGAACTCCAATCATCAAGCCAGCTGGCACCTTTGGGTGCGTTTCCGCCTTTGGTGTGGCGCTGCCACAGGGTCGGTCTTCGAGCCGAGACGTGTCTCTCCAAGTTGTTCAGCATAGGGGACAAGAAGTTGAACGTGGTGACCACATGGTGACCACATGGCACAAGTTACCCCTAGTTGGGTGGTTGATATGGCACAGCCCCCCCCATCCTTCAGGACACCGAAAAAAGGTGCCAGTGGCATCTACTCAGTGAAACAACTGACCAGGAACAACAACTATATGGAAAGGTGGACTTGGTGCCGTAGTCTAAAACCCTTAGTAAAACAATGGTTGTTCAGGAATCCGACCATTAAAGCACTTGTAAACCATTGATATCCCTTCATTTCGCCGAAGGCTCTGCCACAATTCCTTTGATCCGCGAGAGCTTCTGACCTTGGAGGGGCTTAAGCGTGGGACCCCCGCGGTGGGAAGCGGAATTGGTGAGCCGCTCGGAGCCTTCGAAGCAAGCAACAAGGAAACCACCTGGAAGGAAGAATTGCCTCTTGTCACCCAAACATGGTTTTTCCCGAATGCGTAGCGAAGGGTTCCCGTTTATAGTTGGGGGTCTGGGGGTGGCATGCGTCGTCTGTCGTCGTCTCTCGTCGTTTGTCGTCGTCGTCGCGTCTCAAATTTGCTGCCATTGGGGGAAGCTTTTGCAAGTGACTTTTCATGGACGCGTCACGTGTCAGTTTGCGCCGCTATTCCATTGTGATTTGCATGACAATGACATGTCGCGCAAGAAACGTGATGCATTGTGCTGCACACGCGCAGCGTTTTGTGAGATCCGCAGATTGCTGCGCAGTTCCATTGGAGAGTCGTGTTTTTGGGGTGTTGGACGTGGCCGTGCCATTGGGATTTGCGTTTCAGGGTGTGGCATCGAAGCTCGGTTTTCGTGACAAGTCTCAGCTGAAATGCCGATTTTGGTGGATGGGAGTGTGCTCAGAACGGGTCGAAATCATTCCAAACGTGTGGTGTGGTGCAAATTTTGTTGAAGCTCACATGAGATGGTATTGTCACTTTTCGTGGCAGGCGCAGGACTTTGTGCGGGTTTTGAGGCGTGGAAGTGCGATTCTCGTGGCAGGCGCAGGGAATCGTGAGGTTGCGAGGTGTGACGGAGGTGACATTTCGTGGCAGGCGCAGTACTTTGTGCGCGTTAGACGTGTGGACGCGGAAAGATTCGTGGCAGGTGCAGGGAATCGTGAGGTTGTGAGTTGTGGTAGAGGTGAATGTCGCTGTCACATTGGGATTGGCGTGTGCGGATGTTGGTTGGAGGGCTGGAATCGCGAAACTGCTTGGCAGGGCTGCGTGATGTGTGTGCTCCGATGGGTGTTTCCGCTTGACTTTTGGATGTGATGTAGTGCAACTTCAGTACGCGGAGTATCTGGGGAGCTGGAAGAGTGTCCCACAAGAGTGTCCCACAACAGTGTCCCACTAGAGTGTCTCACAGTAGTTTCCCACAAGAGTGTCCCACAAGAGTGTCCTACAAGAGTGTCCCGCAAGAGTGTCCCGCAAGAGTGTCCCACAGAGTGTCCCACAAGAGTGTCCCACAAGAGTGTCCTACATACAAGAGTGTCCCACAAGAGTGTCCCACAAGAGTGTCCTACAAGACTGTCCCACAAGAGTGTCCTGCAAGAGCCTCCCACAAGAGTGTCCCACAAAAATGTCCCACAAGAGTGTCCCGCAACAGTGTCGCTCAAGAGTGTCTCACAAGAGTGTCCCTTAAGAGTGTCCGACAAGAGTATCCCACAAGAGTGTCCTACAAGAGTGTCCCACAAGAGTGTCCCACAAGAGTGTCCTACAAGAGTGTCCCACAAGAGTGTCCCACAAGAGTGTCCTACAAGAGTGTCCTACAAGAGTGTCCCACAAGAGTGTCCCACAAGAGTGTCCCACAGAGTGTCCTACAAGAGTGTCCTACAAGACTGTCCCACAAGAGTGTCCTACAACAAGAGTGTCCCACAAAAATGTCCCACAAGAGTGTCCCGCAACAGTGTCGCTCAAGAGTGGCTCACAAGAGTGTCCCTTAAGAGTGTCCGACACGCAGGTAGTCGTCTATGATGACTTTGCGGTTCCAGAGCATGCGTTCGCACGCTGGTGTAGCAAAAGGCCAAGGGCAACTGATCCAAATCCTTCGCGTCTTTGAGGAAGGATGCCGTGGTGCATCAAGGCGCCGGTCATGCGTCTCTTCCAGCTGCTTTTTGTAGTCTCCAAGCTGCTGATCTTTCTTCTTCTCGATTGCTGTCAATTCTTTCACCCTTGCATCGAGCAACCTGCATTTTTCATTGAGTTCCCTCCACCTTCTCTCCTCTCGCTGTTCGAACCCTGGATCGGGTGTAGCCCGTGCCGAATAGCATCTGACGGTTTCCGGTTCATCTTCAAAAGGCTGATGATGGCGTCCTGCTCCACCCTTGACATCACTCGGAACTCATCCAGAAACTGCTTCAATGCCATCGGTTCACACGGTTCGGTGACGGTTCGCTCTCGCTTGAGAGAGATTGCTACGCAATCGGTCTCGTATTCAGCTACTAAGCTGATAGCTGGTCGCCCATTCGGTGCCAAGCACAGAGATTGCACCTGTGCCAGCCCACCAGCAAGCCCTGCTCGTGAGAGAGCTCGGAAGCGAGCTGCTCAACCTTTTCCCGCAGGCGGGCCGCCTCCTTAGATTGGAACGTGATAAGCTCAGCAAGGGGCAGGATATTTGCAAAGATACCGAGAGGCACAGGGTGGGTGGAACATGGATTTGAGTAAGTGAACGGAAGTAGCCAAAGCTTAAGTTGTTTGTTTTTGAAAATCCTCTTTCACCAAGACCAGCCAGCAAGCTGACTGCCAAAAACTGTGCCTCGAAGATGCTCCAAGATTGTTTCTGTGTTTCACTTCTTGTTTGTTGACCAATGTCAGTACTGACTCAGTACTGACTGTGTTGATGCCCAGCTGACCGCCAAACGGTTCCATTATGTTCCATCCCTGGAAATGTCTGATTGTAAATCGAAAATGCTGGCAAAGGTCTTCAGCTTCCTCGGACTGCGCCCCCTGCGCAGCAGCCAGCTCTGAAGAGACACGCAAGCAAAACTCCGCGCGCTGTGCTGGCCTGTGATGTACGGCAAGTAGCAGCGAAACACATTGAGAGCCCACCTCTCTGAGCCCATGCCGCATGCCCACACCGGAACCCGAAGTACAGATGAGAGCTCACATCTGAGAACACGCGTATGGATATTTGAGCAATCTCATGAGAGCAAACACATTGAGAGGCATATGCAAGCACACGCATTAGAGCAAACAAGTAAGAGTCAGATTGCTGCGCCGGCCACGAAAACCTGCCAGCTTTACAAAGCGCTCCGCTTCACATGGAATCCGCGCTTGGAGGTTCACAAACTATCTACTGTTTCAGGTCTACAAGGCACTGCGGCATGAAAACAAATGTAAATGATTCGAAAGATTCAAGAGAGGGGAGATTCTCCGGGAAGGTATAATCTTCATAGCATTGTCATCTTCATGGCATTATCGTTGGTATCACAAAAATAATCATCGGTTTCATAACATGATCATGGGTTTCATAAACTTGTCCTCGTTTTCATAACGTTGTAAGCCGGTTTCGCAAGATTGGCATCGGATGACAAATGTGATTAAGTTGGGGTGGGGGGAGGGGCAGCTCTATCATCCGCCTCATAGCGTCATCATGGGTTTCACAACAGGCGTCGTGGTCGCTGTGAAAAAGACACAAGCCACACGACTCACCTCGGACCTCATTTCGGACACCCTCAGAATACACTGTTTTCAACAGTGCAAAACGCACCAACTCATTTTTGCATGGTGAAACGCAGGGGTTCGAGCACATCCACATGCTTCTTTCGCGCATGCCCACGAATGATAACAACAGAACTACAAGCAGTTTGCATACATGCATCACATAAAACTCATCATTGAGAGCCTTTGCAAAGACTCAACATGCGTGAATGCGCGAACATGATTAAAATTTGTTCGCGCAACTTGATGCCTAAGATACCCATTCAAACATCAGAGTGCAAGTTTCTCACCAGCGGCCATGTGCCCATAGACGATCCAAGCTAAGCACAATCTATTGAACCCTTCGGAGAACCTCCCGGGTCTACCGTCAATCATGTCATGGTGGTAATTTTCATTGTCCTGTACGACGTTCTGATCTGGTTGGAACATTGATAAAAACCATCGGACACTTTCAGTTCTCATGACAAACCAAGCATGAAGTGGTATGTAACAGTTGCTGCACCCCTTCGCCTCCTTTTCACCGATTCCATCATATTCCATCCTGCTCCAAAGGAATAACGCCTACTCCACTGCTGCTCCGGGCGGTGCAGGTGGATCTCCGTCAAGATCTGCTGGGACGAGACCTGCCGGCGAACTGTCCGGTGGTTTGTTCCAAAGAAAAACTGGATGGTGGTTAAAGCAAACACATCCAAACACATGCGTCAACTGGGATAGTCAGTCCAAGATCATTAGAGTTATTACAGTAGATAATATTGGGATATAGAACGTCAATGAAGGCACCAAAGAAAGGTATTTTTCATGCGGCGTTCGTCGAACACGTGATCCGATCTCGGACCTCGACTGATCCACCTGAGTGTCTCAAGTACTCACCATTTTGAGACTCTGACCGATCATGAGAGGGTCTTGAAGCCTACCTGGGAGACCTGAAAGACCCCCATGGCTTGGTGGTTGGTTCTTCCACCCAGCCACACTCCACTCCAACGCTGTTTCTCCTCACGGGGATTCCACCCATGTCGACGACGAGTCGAGTCGACGGTCGCAGGGTGCGGAGAACGGGCAGACCGGCCCGGTGGCGGACCGGTGGCAGCTCGGCCAAGGTCGAGCTGGTTGGTGGTTTCAACTCAATTGAACAAATACATACTGTAGTCCATCAGTGGGTTTTGATCATGCCAAGTAAAGGTTGAACATGAAAATATCGGAAACTACCACCCAGGTATATAGCTCTTTTATGTTCTTTTTTCCAAGTCTTACTGGTCATGCGATATCGGATTGTACCCAAACCTTGGGGGAAGCCGGACAGCCTGCTCACATGTTCTTCAATGGAATACATGATTGTGAAACGTTTTCTGAAAAACAATTCTTTGACTGACTATTTCATTTTCACGTTCAGCTCAGAGGAGTACTACAAGTTCAACATGCACACGCTGTCAGAACGCTTGGTCAAATCCTTCACTGGAAGTTAGTTCTTGGGCAGGAGAACTCTGCTGCCGTTTAGCTTTAGCCGGCAACCATTTGTTTCATCAAGGCTGGACATGGTGAAAGGTAATTCACCGTGACGTCTACGAAATCCTACCAACAGGGTTACGTACGGTCAACTGCTTGAACACCATCCCGCTGAAGTGGGTTCGTTTTATAAATCCGTTTTTCACGCTGAAAACAGGATCAGCGCAGATGGGAGGATCGCTTTTTCCCCCCCCCCCACAGCCGAGGAGTACCCTTGCCTTTGTTTGTCTGATGCTGGTAATTGGCACCAGGGGTTGATTCACCTGGGCCACAATTCTGCGGCGTCTCCAACATGGGACACGAGTGCATGTGCCCAATAAAGAGCCCCAGTCCCATGTACAAGAAGAACTCCGAACTCATCCCAAGTTTACATTTCGATGGACCCTTTTCCAATCTTAAAGAACATTCCCAAACCAATGAAATGAATGCTTACCTGACTTTCCTTATTTGGGTCCCTTCATGATCACAGGGCATTGGCATCTTCGTGATCCTCTCTGGCAAAGTTTCAGAACTGCTGCTTGGAGGTATCACTTGGAGGCACCAAAAAGTCTCAACTCTCAGTCGCCTCAGATGGTTTGGAGGCCAACCGCAGCCCTACCGAAGAAAAGTGGCAAGAAAAAGAATGCATTATTTTTTTTGCTCTGCCGAAAGAGAACTTGCAGCCACGAAGAGGCCAGGGGCGCGAGAACCGAAAAACGCCTTCCACCGCTTCTCGGTGCGATCGCCGCGGGGTGGTCCAAGTTGCTTGCAGATCCAAGTATTTGGCTACGGCAGCACAGACCTAGCACAACGAGTTCGTGGGTTTTCTTGGGACACTCCTTCTCCTCGTCGATGGAACACCCCTCCGATTCAAATGGGGTCACCTGGTTTAGTGAAGGCAGCGTGACGCTTTCTGTTGGGAGGGAAGGGATAACTAGCGAACTATCCGGTCGAAGCATGTGCTTTGACAAACCAGAACGTACATCAGGAAGTGGTCAAATAGTTGTCAGTAAAATAGGGAGATGTAAAAAAAATCAAACTAACTCAAAATACTTCAGCTCAGATCTGAGCGAACAAGATAAAAACTCGGCACCTGGATCCTTTCTCAGCCAGCTTGGACTCTTGTCTCGTTCGACCTCTTTCGACCCAAGCAAAGGACAGGTGAAGAGATGCGCAGATCTTCTGCGGAAGCCGACTCGCCCTCCCAGCTCAAGCAAAAAGCCCTTTTCTCTTACAGATCCCCAAGCCCATGGCTTGGACGTGATCCGATTGACACAAATCCATTTTGACACGGAGAAGTGGCTCCATTGACGTCCTCCTTTTGCGAAGCTGCTGCTGGTTCAGTGTGCCGAGCCTCATGTGGCAAAAGATCCGCAAAGTAAGACCCTTTTTCAACGACCCTTCCGTCCTCTTTATTTGGACCTTTTCTGTCTTCCCTGATTCAATTCTGATTTCATCCCTTGCGTCTCTGTCCTGGTTCATCGGCATTGATACCTGGCCGACTGCTCACGTGCCTCCCCGGTGCCATGTGCCGTCTCCCGAGGTCCCCGTGCCTTGCGAGGCTCGAAATCCCATCGTTCCGCCACACGGGCGGGGATGACTCGAATGTCACTGTTGTGACAACCTCAGTGGCGGCTGCTAGACACATGTTCCTGGACAGGGCGACAGGGCTTCGCCCTATATATATATATATATCGTCCTTTTTCTCGTGGTGTTGAGTCTTTTTGTTTTTAAATCCTGCAATTTTGATCATCAACATCGACTTAGTCATCATGGCATCAAATCCTATGTTAAGTGGAATCTCGAAGACAGGACAACTGGTGACTTGGACTACACCTTTTGAAAGAGATGCTCTTGTACTGTCAAACAAACATTCTTTGCCACTATGCATGCAAAGATCAGTTCCACGCTGAACCTATCAGTTCCCTTCAGCAAACACATGCAATGCTGCCCAAACCCCCACAGAGTCCATCTTCCACTCAACCAGTAGGGCTTTCAGGCGGCCTCAGGATCGATCCTCCCCCGAAAAACATCCAGTCCCGACTCGCCCTGTCGCCAAGCAACTGGTGCAAAAGTAGTAACCCAGGTAGTGACAATACCTGCGCCAGCTAGGCCCCCCAAGCTTGCCTTTGAGCGGTCAACATGCTAGGGGCATCAAAAGCATGGCCAAGCATGGCCGAGTGCTGTTGGTGTTCCCCCGGATGACTTCTAATTGAAACCATTCGTGTTTATACATGCACAAATCTCACCAACCATTACAAAAACTATCGAACATCACACCTACGAACCCACGAAACACAGAAACTTCAGAGCACGTGAAATCCAGTCGGCCGTTTCCTCAGAACGGCCAGCTAGGGCTTTTGCCGAGAAGCCTCGCCAAGCATGGCCGAGTGCTCTTGGTGTTTCCCCGGATGACTTCCAATTGACACCATCCATGTTTGCAAATTCCACAACCATTACAAAATCGGACATCAGAAAACCCACAAACCCACAAAAACCACAAACACTTCAGAACAAGTGAAAACACAGCCCAGGCCCAGCCGTTTCCTTTTTCTACCGATTCAATGTTTCTCCTTCTGGCAGGGTCCGTCCTTTGGCCGTCCGGGCATGTTCTTCAAGCTTGGATACGGATACACGACAACTGGGTGTGGAGAGAGAGAGAGAGAGAGACTCCCCACTTTGACTCTTTAGCTTTCGCATTCTCCGCCCGATTCCAATCGATTCGGCGGACTGTCTCTGTTTTTTTCGAACAAATCGACACCAAAACGAAGCGGAGCATTTCGGCCACGTGCCCTCCGAAAGAAGCTGCGCGGTGTATCTCTCAAAAGGGTCGATGAAGTACGCATCAGGGTTCTTGTCCACTTGATGCATTCTAGGAAACCTATTGAAGCCGTGCACCGCGTGCGTGCAGCGAACCAAACAACTCCCAGTGCCGCCTGGGCCCCTGAAAGAGCGAGCTGGGTAAGCGCTGTCGGCAGCCCGGGCAAAGGCCCCGCTGCCGAGAGACCTGGAATGGCTGCAGTCGGATCGACCAGACATGCCTACCATATCCTGCCATCGACCAACGAATTCGCAGTCGAGAAAGGAAACACCTGAACTGGACCAACTGACATGGATTCTCAAACACTTGATGGGGGCGTACGTTGTGTCCTAATTACATTGGTTTCAATTTCCTCCAAGGGGTCCATGTAGACATCTGTTCGCGAAAACACACATTTTGTTCGTGAGTATGCCTGTCCTACGGACTGTCTGGGACTGTTTTGAAAGAAGAATCCCCACAGCCCGGGTTGAAACCTCGATGTTTCGGTTGAACTGAGGGGTTCTCTCCAAGAGAGGAGCATCCCTAGCCTTTCCAACGGTCCGGTCCAGGTCTTGGATTTCTGAGGTTTAGCATGGTTTTAGCCTTCTTGTGAAGCACCTCCTAGAAGCAAGGGCTCTTATAGTATTTTCGAACCAATGGGATTATAGAATTATAGGTCTTGCCACACACCCAAGTTTTGGACACTCTCCTTGGCATTCCTTCCCTCACGTCTTGGATCAGGATCTTCCGCCTGGACGTCCTTGGAGAGGCGTGGGTGCATCTTCAGTTTCCACTCGAGGTGAACCTCAGAGCTGCTGGAGATGGATGTTTTTTATTAATTTTAGTAGGGAAACCCCGTGATCCGATGTGAGTTTTGCTCCATTTCCCTAATTTAACACATACCCAAATGGAAAGGCTTGGCATTTCAAAACCACACATTGACCACCCTACCACCCTTCAGGGGTGTCCGGTGTCCCTCCAGGTGTCCACGTTCAATCCCTCCAAAAACGCATGATCGACGAAACCTGGGGCGCCGGACGCCCACTTGATGCGATGAAAACACGGGGAGCTCGACCTGAACCAAGATGGAGGAATGTGTAGTACGGTTTGGGGCTTAAGGCAGCGTTGAAACCACGAACTGTCGAGAACCAACAAAGTCTATCCGTGTGTATTTTGATATATATATATATGTGTATATATGTGGGTGTTGACCTAAATTCCTTTATCTGGGATCCGTCATTCTTAGCAAAAACAAATATTTTAGCCAAACTTTTGCCTTCCTGCGTTTTATCTTTCGCCGAAGTATGTTGTATTTATGTTTGCCATGTATGTTGTATGATGGATATTAATTGTTCATGTCAATGGCTTCTTCTTTACTGGCAGATACGAAGTAAAAACTTCACTGTTTGTCAGCATGTGTCTTCTACTTAACTGTTGACACCCTGTACGTCTCTTTTGTTTGTCCTGGGTGTCTGCAAGAATCAAAAGTTGCAAGAATCACTGTTGCAGCCGGTCGCTCAGACTTACTCATAATGGGCTGGAGGTCAGATGTGGCAGCGTGAGCTTTCGCCAATCTTGAGCTGAACTTTCGCCAAATTTTCGCCTTTTGCGGGGTAGAGTTTTGTCGCAGAGCCACCGCCCAAAGCAGGAGTAGCAGTAGCAGTAGCAGCAGCAGCAGTGGTGGCGGCAGCGGTAGCGGTAGCGGCAGCAGTAGTAGAAGTGGTGGTGGTGGTAGTAGTAGTGGTAGTAGTAGTAGCAGGAGTGGTGGTAGTAGTAGCAGCAGTAGCAGCAGGAGTAGGAGTAGGAGTAGTAGCAGCAACGGCAGCAGAAAGAACATCTTTAGCCATATCTTTCGCCAAACGAACTTTACTTTCGCGAACTCCAGAAACAACTTTCGCCAAATGAGGTTTTGACATGTTCCAGGGTCATCGTCAACAACGCTACCTATTAGGACCTTTAGATCGACAACCATGTACACACCCCTACATGTGTCCGGCTTGTCATGATACACCCGAGTAATTTCATTCTTTAAAGAGCGAAAAAAGTTCAACCATAACCAAACGCAACGCCATGACCATCAACATACCAACGACTTTGGACAGCGGATTCCGGAGGATGGGTAGAATGCATATTCATCCCCTGCGCAAAAAAGCCAGTTGTGTTCTCCAACCGTAACTGCTCACTGTCGAACGGGGAAATGAAATGGGTGGCGCTGCTGTCAAAGAACAGAAACACCACTATTATCACTATTGGCCTTATGATTTTTGAGGCAGGGCCTTTGTTGTTGGTGCATCTCTTCCGGGCAATTGGAAGCAAACCCTGCAATAATGATTGGGTTGAGGGCCGCGGCTGTGAATAGCTTTGACCGAAAACGAAGGTGGATGTTGCCAAAGTGAGTAACAGTCGTCGAAAATGAAGGGTCACGTTACAAAGTCGAAAGCGAAGGCTGAAAACGATAAGTCGGTAATTTTTGTTGAAAATGAAAAGGTGGACGTTGCCAAAGTGTGTAACTGTCGTCGAAACTCAAGGTGGAAGTTGCCAAATGTAGTACGGGAAGCAGCTTCTGAGAGCTGTGGTGTCGGAACTGGCAACTCTCTAATAAAAATGTAGTGTGGGAAGCGGAACCTGAGCCGGCAACACTGTCAGGTCAGTTCGACTGGGAATACCTGGCCTCATGGGCTTGCAGGACTTTGATGCACTCCGGATCACACTCACAAGCAAACAGGTACCTTGGTCTTGGGCATGATGATGCTTGTGGTTCTTGCTCTTCAAAAACACATGTTCTTTCAGGGAAGTATTCTGGAGCTTACCGCCCCCCGAGAGCTGCCAACTGGCATCGCCCATCGCCTTGGCCAAATTCTTGACCTGTTGCAAGATCGGGGTGATGGATTCTGACCCCACTTTGATGTCTGTGGGCTGATCTTTGTGATGGCCAGATTCTGATTCTCCACCTTGGGGCCAAGCGAAGCACTTGCCTCACCAACCTTCACTCTGCACCGCTAAGACCACTGTACAAAGTGATCAGCGTTGACTTTGTTCAAGTTGTTGAGAAGATTGCGAACAACTTCCTTGCCATAACGATCCGTCAACTTTCCAGCCATTCGACCGGCGGTCAAAAACATATCTTTTGGACACTTCACATCCGAAGTTGAGGCAGCAGCACCAAAGTCGGCTACGGCTGGAGTCTGACTTTCACCTTTGTGTGGTTTGACCCACGTGCTTCCATCTTCTTCCACATCCTTGAGCTTCAAAGCCAACGCTCTTGCCGGAGAAGAGGCCGCTCGAGCTGTAGCGTCGGAATTGGTAACTTTGTAGTGCAGGGAGATGTGGGCTCACAACAGGCAACTTTGCCGTACAAATGTAGTACCTGAAGCAGCGCTGGGAGCTGTGACCTCAGAACTCAGAACTGGCAACTTTGCAGCGCAAATGTAGTACGGGAAGCAGCTTCTAGGAGCTCTGACCTCAGATGGTTGCATCATGTTGCATCTAGTCTACGGCACAGGGCGGGGCCTAAGTATGTCCGCGATGTCGCTGTGCCATGCAGATTTGCGCGGTCTTGGCGGGAAATGTTTCTGTGTGTCTCCGTGCCATTGGGGAACGGGAAGGATGCATGTGTAAATGCGGCGTGTGTCGCTGGTGAGCCGCATGATTGGTGGTGTAAACGATGCTTGGCGTGGCTTTACTGTTACGAGCGCATGGCACACGGCACACGGCGTGGCGAAATTACGTCTGTGATGTCGCCGAGCCATGTGGTTTGGCGATGCCTTGGTGGGAAATGTGTCTGCGTGGCCCGGTGCCCATGCGTGCGTAAATGTGGCGTGTCGCTGAGCAATGCATGTATCTGAAAATGTATTGCGTGTTGTAGAGTGCAGTAGAAGAGCAACATGTTCAATCTGATCCGATCTTATTGTTTGACCAAATTGAAGTTCATGCACATCTTCTTATACAAAAATCTTCTTTCACCACACCTTCTTGAACACTGATGTCTTTACACACATCTCTTTTTGCTCCCGGGCCACCCATCGTCTAGTTGATGCATTTGGGTGCCTCAGCAAATACCTACATCACTATCTACATGTTCCATCATTTTCCCATATTCTAACTGCCGTGTCCGTTCGCACATTCTAGCTATTTGAGGCATCAATAATTACAAATGTGAATTCCATAATCCATCTAAATCTCAAAGTGCCTCGTGCCTGTCTATGATAGTATAACTCACTTTTGGCCATACCTTCACAACAACCACTTCGACCGATCTGGCGAAAAGCAGCGCCTGTGATCCAGCGAAGGAGGCGCTGGAACGGTTGGATGCCTGGGGTCCGAGGCGGCAACTGCACGGGTTTTCGTTGGTCGAAAATACTTTGCATGTGTCTGAATATAGACAACTATACAAACTGTAATTAGAGAGCCCCCAAAAGGACGCAGGAGTTGAAGTGTTCTTGAATTGCAATAATTGGTTTGGCCTGTCAAAACCTAAGGTGAAAACAAGAAAACAACCATCGACCAATCTTTGAGGAAATGCTTGGCCAAGCCAGAAAAGCTGACCTAAATCGATAGATTTCGAGCGCCCAGAAGTCAAACACAGAGAATGACAGGATGGGAAAGGCCTAGCATCAGATCTCCCAAAGCAACGGTCTCACAAATCCACAAAACACAACGGAGGCGCACATGCTGTTCGCAGGGACATGTCTCAAATACCTATAAGGCAGCCTGAGACTGCATATGCATAATCGATGCATAATCGGTAACCAGTTGAACCCTGGTTGCTTGACTAACTTAGAATGTATATAAATGAGTAAACTCCATCAGAATGTAGATAAAACCCTTCTGGTAGGTTTTTTTATTCCAACTGTCAGCATCACTGGGACCCACTCGGGAACCCCAAAAAGTCGCCCTAAGATTTGAATTTGAGGACAGTCCGACTCGACCGCTACATTTTCCTGCCACATGAAGAAGAACAACTTAGAACATTGTGACGAGATTTGGTGAACAAAAGCCGTCCGGGCCGTCCCCTGATCGCCACATGAGCTCCCCACTGAACCACGTGAAGAGTTCGTCTCCGAGTCGCTGTCGGAGAGCTCCTTTGGGAGTGGTCGGGGTGGTGGGAGTGGTTGTTGAAATGTTGGTTATATATGCATAGCGGTAAAAAATTAGCAGCACGACTTGGAAGGCGGTGCAGTTTGATTTCATATTTTCGTAGGCCTCAAAATCTCGTCAGACCAACATGGGCCAACCATGGGTGCATCCGTGAAAAACTTCACATCCCCATCTGCCCAACTACCAGTCAGTGCGCCGCTGTGTGCCCGTGCCCCTGAGTGAGAAGACTCCAAGCGGAGCAGGTGAGGCCTTGGGCCGACAGTGTCTTTGGCGCAAACTGGTCGGGTTGGCAAATACACCATGGGAGTGGACCTAGGGTTCTTCAGTCCGAGTTTTTTTGCCCTGCTTCCTATGGCGCCAAGAAAGGTGGCTCACACGAAAACCATACAACAATTGCAATCCTCAAATAGACCCTAACAAATCGTGTGTGGGGCATAACAGCTTATGGCCCAACATTTTCTGTCCAAGGGAGTGCGGCTTCCCCTGCCAACACACCCTTTGCATGTAGATCGGGGTGAACGCAAAATATGCCTGCCTCACATGCTTTGATTCATGTATGGTTGCTACAATGCGGATTTTAAAGCAGCCCAACAGGTTTTTTTAGAGTACCTCTGTTTGAGATCCGCCCGGCCTGCCCAACCATAGATAACTATGAACATACGGAAACGAAATCACCACATCTTTTTCGCTTTATCTTTTCACATGCGCAGACCTGCGGGCATCCGCGTGGTCTTTCACCTGCTTCCTAGGCGCCACCACGTAGGAATGGCGGCTCAAGACCTGTAAGTGCATCCACGCCTTCCACCTGCTCCGTACGCCCCAAAATGTGCCTCTGCGGACACATAGGCTGTCACCGCTTTGAGGGAAGACGGAAACCACCCAACGTGAACGTCACTCCATGCTAGCACACGCATCGCGAAGCGCAGGTATACAACTATGCTGTATATGGTTTACTCTCCATGGCTGTCTGGTTTTGAAGGGCCTGTTGACTGGGTCAACACTCGCTTCAGGATCAACGCCGCGGGTTGCATCGTGAATTTGCAGCCTGCACACTTGCTCTGTAGCGTCTAGCTGCAGTCGACGTCATGATGGTGACCACATGTGACGACATACACGATTCACGAAAGAGACCCTCGTGCACAGGCGCCGTGTCAGTATCATCGCGTCATGAAGTAGTGTCAGGCGAATCGCTGCCGTCTCCTGCAGAAACTGTAGAGCAAGCATCACCCACAGCGCGAGGCGATCTCCACACAGGCAACGCAGCGCGTCACGCCGCGATCTCACGCCACCAATCGGCCTGGAGCGCCGGCGGGTGTTGCTGGAAATTTGACAGCGTCTGAGTCTAAGCTAAACATGGTTTTTGTGCAGGTCCGCTGCCTGCAAGCGCCAGCTGAGCCAATTCGAGCAAAGGACCCTTTTGGTCAAGTCTGCTGCACGGTCGATTGCGGCACGTGTCTGGACATGCGTCGGTCAGACCCTGCGAGAACCAAAACAGAACTTGAAATCATCAAATGTCACGATATATCACGATATCCTGCAACGATGTGCGCCCGTAAAGTCAACATACCTGAAGTATGTACAACGCCTTCTACTTAGTGTCACAAGGCACTTGTGGGCGTCACGCCCATTAGCAAGGCCTTCAGCTTGCACACAGCAAGCGTTCTTGTGCTTACCAGTGGAACATCACAGGTCCACCCTCAACCAAAGCCTGATATTACTTTCAAACCTCCACACCAGCTTGAAGCCATTATGGATATGTTTCGGGCCGTATACATACTCAAGATGGTCTCAATTCACACGTCTTTTGGAATCTTCAGCTGCTGCCGGCTCTTCAGTGGCGGTCAGTCACTCTGTTCATCCAGCAAATTGCTCTATGGAAGGCCATACGAGGCCTAGCCCCAACTTCTCCGCCCAGACTCATCTCAATGGCTCCCCCCTGTGAAGTAAATAGACATGGTACCCTATCAACTTGACCTACAAAATGTTGGGCCTCCTTTTTGAATCCATGCAGCTATTTTTGAAACAAACCCTCCCTCCCCAGCCAGCATGCATTTTAGCAAAGGCAAAGCAGTGTAAAGCAGCAAGGTGTTTCAGCGCAGTCTAATTTTACTCCGAGCCGTCGCGTTCGATGTCCTCAGTGGTCCTATAGGCAACATGAAAACATTTATCGCAGGTTTGGTTCTTACCTGCCGGATATGTCGAAACGGCAATTCTCCATTGAGATGGAGGGTGTCCAAGTCCATCCACTGCCATCTTGTGCCACGTCCCAGCCATGGTGTTTCTGATGAAATCGGAAGGGTGGTCGATATCAAAGATCCATTTCACTGCGGACGAGGTCCCTGCTAAATTGGTCCGTCCAGCTCGTCTATTTGTCCCTCCAGCCTTCAGATCTTGTCGTTGGTCTCCTCTGCCGTTCAGCCGGCGCCAGAGGTTTGAGATCCAACATCTGTGCTCAGTTCGTCCAGCGCCTAGTATTGCGAGAGCTTCCAGCACTTGTTGTGATCGAGGGTTGCCGATCTCAATGCCCAACAGTCGCTCATCCGTCTCCGTGACAGCTGAAGCATAGTAAGCAACGATGGATCTTCCAAGGCCGCATGGTGAGGCGTCTGTGAAGTAAAACATCCATGGCTGCAGTCCTCGCCCCATGTATGACTGCAATCTGTAGATGCGCTTCATCGCAGCTGCTTTGTTCTGCGAGAAAAGCTTGTACCCAAGCAGTCACATCTTTGAACTGCTTGGTCCAGACGCAGTTCTTTTCGTGCCTTGGTTGCCCCTTCAGCATGGAGCACTCCATACAAGTCAACAACGAACAGTCACAGCATTTCAGCCAACCCAACAATATGATTGGCAATGTAAGTTGGCAACGTTGCTACCGCAACGCACTTCATCAACAATGTCTTGTTTGGCCTTGACAATAAGTGCTGCTGCCCTGCTCGACCAATGTTCACTTAGCGCCAATCCAGACGACTTTGTCTCCCCGAGATGCTTTCTTGTATGCTAGTCATATATGCCGTACTCCAAGCACCGCCCAGAGAAGGATGGTCTTTGCAGTCTTTGCATTGCTCGGTCTCTTTGTCTGCGAGTACCAGCTGTGACAACTATTGGAGCGTCCCCGTACTGCAGTCGATATCTGGCATCTCCAAGCACTGCTTGGGTTATCCTTGCAGTGAGAGCAACGATTCTCCCCCAAACAAGCGGCGCATTGACAGAGCCCTGTGCCTGTGTGAGATAGGCCACGACAAGCGGGCACGATGAAGTGAACCTTGACAGGGCCAACAAAGGATCACTGACAGCTGACAAATGCCAGGAACTAAAAACAGACACACAACGTTTGGGACAGCCCTGCAATTTGGCTGAGTACATGTGCATGAAGTAGCTCCATCCCCAAAAAACTCCTGCAAGGCAGCGTTGGGCTCCACTCTGAAACGTTTGCAAAGCCCAATCACAAACTGCTTTCTCTGCTCGGTGGTCAACTCAGCCTCCATGTTGAAAGCAAGAAAGCAGTTCGCTTCCTGCGCAATTTGATATGCCACATACAAGCCCACGGCGTCGATGGCAGGTCTCTCATGTCCCGGCTGTAGTTTGATTCGGCCAAAGGTGATGCTACATACGCTTGGGTGGTTCTCAAAAGCACTGACACGGTTGGGTCAAGCTCTGTCACGTGAATGGTCTCGAAAGCGGGTATTTTGGGTCCCACACCTCTCAGAAGTACCGAGATGCATAGAGGGCTTGGAAGGGCCAAAATGGAGTAAGCAAGCCCTGCCTCAAAGAAAGGGAAGTTGGCCTGGAAGAAAGCATCGTAGACAGCAAAGCACACCCAACATCGCCCTCGATACGAAACGGGGTGGGTGTTTGAGCGTGAGCTGTGTCTGCAGCAAAAGCCTTTGCGCGAAAAAACATGGCTTCAGGATGCGGGCCCTTTGCAAACATCACATACGACTATAAACAAACGGTTATGTGGACGGGTGGAGATCACCTGCTATATAAGATAGCTTCCAATGATCGCGGCGCCCTTTGAGGCCCTGACTTCTGCGTGACGATGATAGGTTCCCGTCTTGCAGCTGTGTCTGGGCCAGGCCATCGCAAAACTGTGGCAGTTGCTTCGCTCTTGTCTTCCCTCCAAGCAGCAAAGGCCGATTCCTGATGGCACGAAGGCATGCGTGCGTCAATGTCTCAGTGGCTTCAGCCAGAAAAAGGCCGCCATCCTGTAGCATGCGCCGAAGTTTGTGAAGGAGCTCAGATGCATATTGCCCAGACACAGCAAAATCTGCAGAGGCTGCGTCCTCCAGCCGCGAAAAAGACTTGCCCATCGCCAAAGCATCAGCTGCTACGGCAGCTCCGACTAGCTGACAGTATCCGCAATCCCCACCCCAGGACATGAGGAGATCTCTCGCCCAATTCCTGTCCTGACGGTCGCTGGCAGAGGACAGCTCTTGCAATGACCACAGGCAGCAGACGAAGCAGTCGGAAAAGTGGACGGGTCCTGCTACCGAACCTGACCTTAGAGTAGGCAAAAATTGTCACGCCAGCAAACGTGGCGGCTGACACGGACTGTTTGGCACCCTGCTGCTTTCTGATGAAGATTTCGCGCATAGCTACGCTCTCTTCCATTAAGCGGCAGAGGCTTCCCGGACCAGTCACAAGGCTATCCAGAATATTCGTCTGCGCTTCACTCTGTCATCCATACCAAGTTTGCTCAGATGCGGCTCGCCATTCAACCAATGTACGAAACTGTCGTAGTTCTGAAATGCTCTGACAAAGCCTGTCTGTATGAGCCTTTCAACTTCAGGACCAGCTTGTTTGTCAGCATCGATAGATGAGCAGTTTGTATGTGTCCATTGGTCCGGCGTGTCTATGCAGTCCTCACCACTTCGTCGCCTGGAGGAACGAGAGCAGGGACGGAATGAAGAGCGAAGCCGGCGACACCGTAGGGGCGGCCGACATGCCTGAAGAATCGCTCTTCCTTGAGCCAAAATGGACCCAAGGAAGACAGAGTCCTCCACCTACCGACTGTGTCAAAACACGTTGTAACATAATAAATCTATATATATATACACATTACATTACACACACTTATGATTGGGTGTACTGAACTGAAAGCGGCGCCACACGCCAGCCTAAGAAACCAAATCCTGAAAAACCAGGTGAGGGGGGCTGCGCGCCTTTAGTTAAAGGCATTCAAAGGCCAGAAGTCAAACTCCACGATGCGACGAGCCGACAGGATGACGACGTACGCTCTTGTCTGCCGAGTGCATTAGCCCTTTACGGAAACTTAAAAATTGTTGCAGGTACGTCCAACTGGCCAAGCCGGATATCCCATTTCACTGGTAGCTGCTCTAAACAAGTCAATCCTGTGCAAATTCGATAGAATCCCTGTGACTACAAGGGGCACACACTTAGGATATGGTGTACGGAACTGAATGCGGTGCCACACGCCGGCCTAGGGTTCCAAATGTAGGATACGTGTACAAACCACTGGAACCTGGAGGTCTTCAAGAGGAAGTAGGGCCCAAAAGG